AAATTTTTAAAAGTTTGCTTCACTTTCTTCCCCTCTGTGTCACTGAGCAGTGCTGCAGAGTGCAAAAGCATAGCTTATTCCCCTTCACAGGTTGAGGATTTTGTTGATGGGGTTGCTAGTTCTCTGCGTACTGCCTTAGACAATGCAGCTCCTTTGAAAATGAAAACCGTTAAAAATAGAAAGCTTGCTCCTTGGTTTAATGCAGAGCTGCGTACTTTGAAGCAAAATGCTACGAAACTGGAGAGAAAATATCGCTCCACAGGCCTGCGAGAGTCCTTCCTAGTCTGGAAAAATAGTTTACTTCTGTATAAGAGGACCCTTTGTAAAGCAAGAGCAGCATACTTCTCCTCATTAATAGAGGAGAATAAGAATAATCCTAGATTTCTTTTTAATCCAGTTGCCAAACTCACCCAGAGCCATAGCTCTGTTGAACCGTCCATTCCACCTGCTCTTAGCAGCAATGATTTTATGGGATTCTTTATATCATATGGGGGAACGCTATCTGATGGGCCTATAAACCCCGTCAGATGGCGTTCCCCCCATGTTAAGCAGGGGGAACGCTATCTGACGGGGTTTATAGGCCTGTTAGGTGGCGTTCCCCCCTGATGTCATTTACGTTGGGTTGCAATAAATGCTAAACTCTCTGCAGGTTCTTGTCTTTGTCGTCGGCTCTATTCAGCTGGCTTTGGAAACACACGGCGAGAAGGTGGGGGGTGGGTGGTGAGGGTTACGCAATAGTTACTTTTATTAGTAACTAGTTACTTTTATTGTGGAGAAACTCAGGTAGTAACTCAGTTACTTTTTGGGAGAAGTAACTATAACTAATTACTTTTTGAAAGTAATTAGTGCATACAGATTAAGTGCAGCAGCAGTTTAAGCTGCATCCGGATCACAGATTGATCACCGTTCCCTTAACCGCTGATTTATTGCCCCGCCCACTGAGTGAAATGATTACTGCAACCTTCAATGCTTGTTGGATTTCTTTGTATTTTAAATAGCTCATTAAATTCCTTAGAAAAACAATCAGCAGGAGTAAAATTTAAGCTGAAAGATGTTTTTTGTGATAAATGCATATAAATAATGTAATTCAGAGATCTCAATTATATTTACAGAGAAAATGGTTGTAAACCTTCTTCCTCTCCTGCTCTCTGTGTCAGATGTTCAGTTATTCCTCTGCCTCCTGTAGTGATAATGGGATGTGTAATAAGTGTAGTATTTTAGTAGCTTTGGAGGCGAGGGTGTCAGAGTTAGAATCCAGGCTTCAGGCTGTTGAACATCCAGGAGTTGAAGTAGGCCCCCCACGTAGCTGTCCTCCAGCAGTGCCTGAGCAGCCAGGCGATTGGGTAACTCTACGCAGAAAGCGTAGTCGTGGATCTCTGCCCACTGGTCACCACCAACCCGTTCACGTTTCTAACCGGTTTTCCCCACTCAGTGACACACCCACTGAGAAGCCCACTCTGGTGATTGGCAGCAGACCAGTAAGGGTCAGACCAGTAAAGGTCAGAACTGTAAGGGTCAGACCAGTAAAGGTCAGACCAGTAAGGGTCAGACCAGTAAGGGTCAGACCAGTAAAGGTCTGACCAGTAAAGGTCAGACCAGTAAAGGTCTGACCAGTAAGGGTCAGACCAGTAAAGGTCAGACCAGTAAAGGTCAGACCACTAAAGGTCAGACCAGTAAGGGTCAGACCAGTAAGGGTCAGACCAGTAAAGGTCAGACCAGTAAAGGTAAGACCAGTAAAGGTCAGACCAGTAAAGGTCAAACCAGTAAAGGTCAGACCAGTAAAGGTCAGACCAGTAAAGGTCAGACCACTAAAGGTCAGACCAGTAAGGGTCAGACCAGTAAAGGTCAGACCAGTAAGGGTCAGACCAGTAAGGGTCAGACCAGTAAAGGTCAGACCAGTAAGGGTCAGACCAGTAAGGGTCAGACCAGTAAAGGTAAGACCAGTAAAGGTCAAACCAGTAAGGGTCAGACCAGTAAGGGTCAGACCACTAAAGGTCAGACCAGTAAGGGTCAGACCAGTAAAGGTCAGACCAGTAAAGGTCAAACCAGTAAGGGTCAGACCAGTAAGGGTCAGACCAGTAAAGTTAAAACCAGTAAAGGTCAGACCACTAAAGGTCAGACCACTAAAGGTCAGACCAGTAAGGGTCAGACCAGTAAGGGTCAGACCAGTAAAGGTCAGACCAGTAAAGTTCAAACCAGTAAAGGTCAGACCACTAAAGGTCAGACCACTAAAGGTCAGACCAGTAAGGGTCAGACCAGTAAGGGTCAGACCAGTAAAGGTCAGACCAGTAAGGGTCAGACCAGTAAAGGTCAGACCAGTAAAGGTCAGACCACTAAAGGTCAGACCACTAAAGGTCAGACCAGTAAGGGTCAGACCAGTAAGGGTCAGACCAGTAAGGGTCAGACCAGTAAAGGTCAGACCAGTAAAGGTCAGACCAGTAAGGGTCAGACCAGTAAGGGTCAGACCAGTAAAGGTAAGACCAGTAAAGGTCAAACCAGTAAGGGTCAGACCAGTAAGGGTCAGACCACTAAAGGTCAGACCAGTAAGGGTCAGACCAGTAAAGGTCAGACCAGTAAAGGTCAAACCAGTAAGGGTCAGACCAGTAAGGGTCAGACCAGTAAAGTTAAAACCAGTAAAGGTCAGACCACTAAAGGTCAGACCACTAAAGGTCAGACCAGTAAGGGTCAGACCAGTAAGGGTCAGACCAGTAAAGGTCAGACCAGTAAAGTTCAAACCAGTAAAGGTCAGACCACTAAAGGTCAGACCACTAAAGGTCAGACCAGTAAGGGTCAGACCAGTAAGGGTCAGACCAGTAAAGGTCAGACCAGTAAGGGTCAGACCAGTAAAGGTCAGACCAGTAAAGGTCAGACCACTAAAGGTCAGACCACTAAAGGTCAGACCAGTAAGGGTCAGACCAGTAAGGGTCAGACCAGTAAGGGTCAGACCAGTAAAGGTCAGACCAGTAAAGGTCAGACCAGTAAAGGTAAGACCAGTAAAGGTCAGACCACTAAAGTTCAGACCAGTAAGGGTCAGACCAGTAAGGGTCAGACCAGTAAAGGTCAAACCAGTAAAGGTCAGACCAGTAAAGGTAAGACCAGTAAAGGTCAAACCAGTAAAGGTCAGACCACTAAAGTTCAGACCAGTAAGGGTCAGACCAGTAAGGGTCAGACCAGTAAAGGTCAGACCACTAAAGGTCAGACCAGTAAGGGTCAGACCACTAAAGGTCAGACCAGTAAGGGTGAGACCAGTAAGGGTCAGACCAGTAAGGGTCAGACCAGTAAGGGTCAGAACAGTAAGGGTCAGACCAGTAAAGGTCAGACCAGTAAGGGTGAGACCAGTAAAGGTCAGACCAGTAAGGGTCAGACCAGTAAGGGTCAGACCAGTAAGGGTCAGAACAGTAAGGGTCAGACCAGTAAAGGTCAGACCAGTAAGGGTCAGACCAGTAAGGGTGAGACCAGTAAAGGTCAGACCAGTAAGGGTCAGACCAGTAAGGGTCAGACCAGTAAGGGTGAGACCAGTAAAGGTCAGACCAGTAAGGGTCAGACCAGTAAGGGTGAGACCAGTAAAGGTCAGACCAGTAAAGGTCAGACCAGTAAGGGTGAGACCAGTAAAGGTCAGACCAGTAAAGGTCAGACCAGTAAGGGTGAGACCAGTAAAGGTCAGACCAGTAAAGGTCAGACCAGTAAGGGTGAGACCAGTAAAGGTCAGACCAGTAAAGGTCAGACCAGTAAAGGTCAGACCAGTAAAGGTCAGACCAGTAAGGGTCAGACCAGTAAGGGTCAGACCAGTAAGGGTGAGACCAGTAAAGGTCAGACCAGTAAGGGTCAGACCAGTAAGGGTGAGACCAGTAAAGGTCAGACCAGTAAAGGTCAGACCAGTAAGGGTGAGACCAGTAAAGGTCAGACCAGTAAAGGTCAGACCAGTAAGGGTGAGACCAGTAAAGGTCAGACCAGTAAAGGTCAGACCAGTAAGGGTGAGACCAGTAAAGGTCAGACCAGTAAGGGTCAGACCAGTAAGGGTGAGACCAGTAAAGGTCAGACCAGTAAGGGTCAGACCAGTAAGGGTCAGACCAGTAAGGGTGAGACCAGTAAAGGTCAGACCAGTAAGGGTCAGACCAGTAAGGGTGAGACCAGTAAAGGTCAGACCAGTAAAGGTCAGACCAGTAAGGGTGAGACCAGTAAAGGTCAGACCAGTAAAGGTCAGACCAGTAAGGGTGAGACCAGTAAAGGTCAGACCAGTAAAGGTCAGACCAGTAAGGGTGAGACCAGTAAAGGTCAGACCAGTAAAGGTCAGACCAGTAAAGGTCAGACCAGTAAGGGTCAGACCAGTAAACATACCATCATAGAAAACTGAGTGAATAATGAAAATGAGGAGGAAGCAGTTAGATGTAGAGCAGATAGAGCGGACTCCCTGCAGAGGCTCATGGTTCTTTCCTCCTGGGTTTCCAGATCGTCCGTGAAGATCGCAGCATGGAGCAGATCGTCTTCCCCGTCCATCCTATCTGTGAGTTTCTGACCGAGGAGTCAAAGGTGCGAGTTTTCAACACCACGGAGCAGGACGAGCAGGGGTCAAAGGTCACGCACTTCTTTGAACAGACGTCGTTTCTCCACGGAGAGATGGAGTGGCAGAAGAAGCTGAGGAGTGAGTTTAGTGCTCCATGCTGCCTCCTCTTCTCTCTCTCGTCTCCCCGTTTTAACGTGGGTCCAAACGTTGTGCAGGTATGCCGGTTCTGTTCTGGTTCTCCAGGAGGATGTCTCTGTGGGGAACCATCTCCTTCAATCTGGCCGTCTTCATTAACCTCATCATCGCCTTTTTCTACCCCTACGACTCTGGCCAGGGTAGGTCTCACCAAACATCACAGCTGAGCTTCTGGTCCACATGTCCTTCCTCTGTGCTTAAAGGTTCTACAAAGTCCTGCTGGTTCTGTTCTGATCCACTTATTCTCCAGCTGTAGAATAAATGGAGCAAATGCCCCCACCCCCAGAAGATGTCCCCTGATCTAAGCGTCTCTCTCTGTGCAGGAGCCATCGATGACTCCATGCTGCTGATGCTGTTCTGGATCCTGACCGGGCTCTCCATCCTGGGCTTGTTCTCCAAGCAGTACGGCCTGCAGCCGCTCACTCTGGCTCTGATCCTCCGCTCCATCTACCACCTGGGCATCGGAAACACGCTCATTCTGCTGGGATCGCTTAACGTAAGAACCGTCCTGATCCAGTCCAATCCAGTCCTGGTTTCCTTTGAGTTCAGATTCATGTCCAGATCAGCTGCAGTTCCTGCTGTCCTAGTTCTGACAGACAGGGCAGATATATAGAAGCTCCGCCTACCCGATGAACTGTCTGTAGATGTGTAGAAGCTCCGCCCACCCGATGAAGCCGCCTGTAGATGTGTAGAAGCTCCGCCCACCCGATGAAGCCGCCTGTAGATGTGTAGAAGCTCCGCCCACCTGATGAACTGTCTGTAGATGTGTAGAAGCTCCGCCCACCTGATGAACTGTCTGTAGATGTGTAGAAGCTCCGCCCACCTGATGTACTGTCTGTAGATGTGTAGAAGCTCCGCCCACCTGATGAAGCCGTCTGTAGATGTGTAGAAGCTCCACCCACCTGATGAACTGTCTGTAGATGTGTAGAAGCTCCGCCCACCTGATGAAGCCGTCTGTAGATGTGTAGAAGCTCCGCCCACCTGATGAAGCCGTCTGTAGATGTGTAGAAGCTCCGCCCACCTGATGAAGCCGTCTGTAGATGTGTAGAAGCTCTGCCCACCTGATGAACCGTCTGTAGATGTGTAGAAGCTCCGCCCACCTGATGAACTGTCTGTAGATGTGTAGAAGCTCCGCCCACCTGATGAAGCCGTCTGTAGATGTGTAGAAGCTCCGCCCACCTGATGAAGCCGTCTGTAGATGTGTAGAAGCTCCGCCCACCTGATGAACTGTCTGTAGATGTGTAGAAGCTCCGCCCACCTGATGAAGCCGTCTGTAGATGTGTAGAAGCTCCGCCCACCTGATGAAGCCGTCTGTAGATGTGTAGAAGCTCCGCCCACCTGATGAACTGTCTGTAGATGTGTAGAAGCTCCGCCCACCTGATGAACTGTCTGTAGATGTGTAGAAGCTCCGCCCACCTGATGAACTGTCTGTAGATGTGTAGAAGCTCCGCCCACCTGATGAACTGTCTGTAGATGTGTAGGAGCTCCGCCCACCTGATGAACCGTCTGTAGATGTGTAGAAGCTCCGCCCACCTGATGAACCGTCTGTAGATGTGTAGAAGCTCCGTCCACCTGATGAACTGTCTGTAGATGTGTAGAAGCTCCGCCCACCTGATGAACCGTCTGTAGATGTGTAGAAGCTCCGCCCACCTGATGAACCGTCTGTAGATGTGTAGAAGCTCCGCCCACCCGATGAAGCCGCCTGTAGATGTGTAGAAGCTCCGCCCACCTGATGAACTGTCTGTAGATGTGTAGAAGCTCCGTCCACCTGATGAACTGTCTGTAGATGTGTAGAAGCTCCGCCCACCTGATGAACCGTCTGTAGATGTGTAGAAGCTCCGCCCACCTGATGAACCGTCTGTAGATGTGTAGAAGCTCCGCCCACCTGATGAACTGTCTGTAGATGTGTAGAAGCTCCGTCCACCTGATGAACTGTCTGTAGATGTGTAGAAGCTCCGCCCACCTGATGAACCGTCTGTAGATGTGTAGAAGCTCCGCCCACCTGATGAACCGTCTGTAGATGTGTAGAAGCTCCGCCCACCTGATGAACTGTCTGTAGATGTGTAGAAGCTCCGCCCACCTGATGAACCGTCTGTAGATGTGTAGAAGCTCCGCCCACCTGATGAACCGTCTGTAGATGTGTAGAAGCTCCGTCCACCTGATGAACTGTCTGTAGATGTGTAGAAGCTCCGCCCACCTGATGAACTGTCTGTAGATGTGTAGAAGCTCCGTCCACCTGATGAACTGTCTGTAGATGTGTAGAAGCTCTGCCCACCTGATGAACCGTCTGTAGATGTGTAGAAGCTCCGCCCACCTGATGAACTGTCTGTAGATGTGTAGAAGCTCCGCCCACCTGATGAACTGTCTGTAGATGTGTAGAAGCTCCGTCCACCCGATGAAGCCGTCTGTAGTTGTGTAGAAGCTCCGCCCACCCGATGAAGCCGTCTGTAGATGTGTAGAAGCTCCGCCCACCTGATGAACCGTCTGTAGATGTGTAGAAGCTCCGCCCACCTGATGAACTGTCTGTAGATGTGTAGAAGCTCCGCCCACCTGATGAACTGTCTGTAGATGTGTAGAAGCTCCGCCCACCTGATGAAGCCGTCTGTAGATGTGTAGAAGCTCCGCCCACCTGATGAACTGTCTGTAGATGTGTAGAAGCTCCGCCCACCTGATGAACTGTCTTTTAGAAGTGTTTGAAAGCTCCCCCACCTGATTTAAAATTTGTGATTTGAAAAAGCTCCGCCCACCTGATGAACTGTCTGTAGATTGTTGAAGCTCCGTCCACCTGATGAACCGGGCTGTAAGGGTGGTTTTGAAGCTTCCCCCCACCTTTATGAACTGTCTGTAGATGTTTTAAAAAGCTCCGTTCCCCCTGAAGGGGCTGTCTGTAGATGTGTAGAAAAGTCCGCCCACCTGATGAACCTTCTGTTGATGTGTAGAAGCTCGCCCACCTGATTTAATGTCTGGAGATGTGTAGAAGGTCCCTCCAACCCCATGAAGCCCCTCGGGAGATGTTTTTAGAAAGGGTTTCCGCCCCCCCCCGATGAAGCCGCCCCTTTTTGTGATTAAGCTGCCCAACCCGAAAGAAATGTCTGTAGATGTGTAGAAGCTCCCCCCACCTGATGGGAAATGTTTGTTTAAAGTGTAAAAAAGCTCCGCCCAACTGATGAACTGCCTGTAGTTGGGTAGAAGCTCCGGCCCAATGATTTTCCGGCGGGTGATGTGTAGAAGCTCCCCCCCAAACCCGATGAACTGTCTGTAGTCGTGTAGAAACTCCCCCCCACCCCATGAAGCCGTCTGTAGTTTTTGTAGAAGCCCGCCCCCCGATGAAGCCGTCTGTAGTTGTGTAGAAGCCCGCCCACCTTTATGAACCCTTGTAGAGGGGTAGAAGCTCCGGTTTTCCCCCTGGTTTTTAAACCCTTTTGTGAAGTGTTTGAAGCTCGGCCCAAATGATGAACCCTTGAAAAATTTTTGTAGGAAAACTCCGCCCCCCCCTGAAAGAACTGTCTGTAGATGGGGTAGAAGCTCCCCCCAAACCCGATTTAAATGTCTGTAGATGTGTAGAAGCTCCGCCCCCCTGGGTGAACCCGTCTGTAGATTGTTAGAAAAACTTCCCCCCAACCCGATGAACCCCTCCCGTAGATGTGTTTGAAGTCCGCCAAACCCGATGAACTGTCTGTAGTGTTTTAGAAGGGTCCACCCCCCCCCATGAAGCCCTTTTGTAGTTGTGGGGAAGCTCCGCCCCCGATGAAGGGGTTTTTGTTTTTTTTTTTGGGTTTTTTTTGTAGGGAAACTCCCCCCACCCGAAAGAAGCCGTTTTTGTATGTTTGTAGAAAACTCCGCCCACTGATGGGAAACCCTCTGGGAGATGTGTTGAAGCTCCCCCCACCCCATGAACCGTCCCGTGATGTGTTGAAGCTCCCGGGCCCCCCCGATGGGAAATTTTTTGTAGTCGTTTTAGAAGCTCGGGCCACCCCGATGGAACTGTCTGTGATGTGTAAGGGAAAAAAACTCCGTCCCCCTGAGGGAATGTCTGTAGATGTGTAGAAGCTGCCCACCCGTTTTAAAATGTCTGTAGATGTGTAGAAGCTCTTCCCCCCGTGAAGCCGGGTTTTTGTTGTGTAGAAGGTCCCCCCCAAACCCGTTACCGTCTGTTGATGTGTAGAAACTCCGTCCACCCGATGGGAAACCCTCTGTAGATGTGGGAGGGAAACTCCCCCCCACCCGGATGAACCGCTGTAGTTGGGGTTTGAAAAGCTCCGCCCACCCGAAAAGAACCCGCTGTAGATGTGTAGAAACTCCGTCCCTGATGAAAATGTCTGTTGATGGGTTTTGGAAACTCCCCTCCACCGGGTGGAAAATGTCTGTAGATGTTTTTAGAAGGGTTTCCCCCCCTGATGAAATGTCTGTAGATGGGGGTGAAGCTCCGCCCACCTGATTTAACTGTCTGTAGATGTGTGAAGCTCCCCCCACCTGATGAACCGTCTGTAGGGTGTGTAGAAGCCCCCGCCCCCTGGGTTTAACTGTTTGTAGATGTGTAGAAGTCCGCCCCCCCTGATGAAAATGTCTGTAGATTTGTAGAAGCTCCCCCCCCCTGATGAAACCCTCTGTAGATTTTGTAGAAAACTCCGCCCACCCCGATGAAACCGGGCTGTAGTTTTGTTTGAAAAACCCCCGCCCACCTGATTTAACCCTCCCGTAGATGTGTAGAAGCTCGCCCAAACCTGATTTAAAATGTCTGTTGATGGTTGAAGGGTCCCCCCCACCCGATGAACGTCTGTAATGTGTAGAAGCTCCGCCCAAAATGATGAACTGTCTGGGAGTTTTGTAGGGAAACCCGCCCCCCTGAGAACCCTCTTGAGATGTGGTTTGAAACTCCGGCCCCCCTGAAAGAATGTCTGTAGGGGTGTTAAAAAGCTCCCCCCACCCCCTTGAAGCGTTGTAGTTGGGGTAGAAAACTCCGGCCCCCCCCGGGTGAAGCCGTCGGGAGTTGTGGTTTGAAACTCCGCCCAAAATGATGAACCGTCTGTAGATGTGTTTTGAAACTCCGCCCACCGATGAAAACCCTTGGGATTGGGTAGAAGCTCCCCTCACCCCGAAGAATGTCGTAGTCGTGTAGAAGCTTTCCCCCCCTGATGAACTGTCTGTAGTGTGGGAGAAAACCCCCGCCCCCCCTGATGAAAATGTCTGAGATGTGTTGAAGTCCGCCCCCCTGATGAACTGTCTGTAGATGTTTTAGAAGCTCCCCCCACCTGATGAACCGTTCCCGTAGTTTTGTGAAAAATTTCCCCTTTAAAAAGGGTGAAAATGTCTGTAGTGTGTAGAAACTCCGCCCACCCGAGGGAACTGTCTGTTTTTTGGGTGTGTGAAGCTTTCCCCCCCACCTGATGAAAATTTTCTGTTGTTTTGTTTGAGCTCCGCCCCCCCGATGGGAAATGTCTGTAGATGGGGTAGAAGCTCCCCCCACCTTGGTGAACCGTCTGTTGATGTGTTTGAAGCTCCCCCCACTGATGAACTGTTGTGATGTGTAGAAGCTCCCCCCCCCTTTATGAACTTTTGTAGATGTGTTTTTTGCTCCCCTTTCCCCCTGATGAAACCGGGCTGGTTTAAGAGGTGTAGAAGCTCCCCCCACCTGATGAACGTTTTGTAGATGTTTTAGAAGCTCCGTTTCCCCACGATGAAAAACCGTCTGTAGTTTTTGGGAGAAGGTCCGCCCACCTGATGAAAACCCTCTGTTGATTTTGTAGAAAACTCCGTCCACCCCATGAAGCCGTCTGTTGTGTGTAGAAGCCCCCCCACCCGATGAACCGTCTGAAATTGTGTAGAAGCTCGCCCACCCGATGAATTTTCTGTAAAATGTGTAGAAGCTCCGTCCCCCCTGATGGAATTTTCTGTAGATGTGGGAGAAGCTCGTCCACCTGATGAAAATGTTTTTGGGGGGTTGTGTAGAAGCCCCCGCCCACCTGATGAACGTCGTAGATGTGTAGAAAACTCCCCCCACCTGATGAATGTTGTAGATGTGTGAAGCTCCGGCCCCCCGATTTTAAAACCGTCTGTAGTTGTGTAGAAGGTCCCCGGGCCCCCTGATGAACCGTCTGTTAAAATTTTGTTTGAAGCTCCGTCCCTGATGAAAATGTCCGTAGATGTGTAGAAACTCCGTCCCCTGTGGGCTGTCGTAAATTGGGGATAGAAAACTCCGTCCACCCTGTGAACTGTCTGTAGAAGTGGAGAAAACTCCCCCCCACCTGATGAACTGTCCCGTTTGATGTGTAGAAGCTCCGTCCCCCCCCCGATGAAGCCGGGCCCGTTTGTTGTGAGAAGGTTTCCCCCCACCCGAGAAACCCCTCTGTAGATGTTTTTAGAAGCTCCGCCCCACCTGATGAACTGTCTGTAGATGTGTTTGAAGGGTCCGCCCAAACCCGAGAACTGTCTGTAGATGGGGGTAGAAAACTCCGCCCCTGATGAACTGTCTGTAGGATGTTTTAGAAGCTCCCTCCACCCCATGAAACCGTCTGTGTTGTTTTTAGAAGCTCCGCCCACCCCCATGAAAATGTCCCGTAGTGTGTTTGAAGTCCCGGCCCCCCTGATGAAAAATGTCTGTAGATGTGTAGGAAAACTCCGTTTCCCCCTGATGAACGTCTGTAGTTGTTTTAGAAGCTCCCCCCCACCTGATGAACTGTCTGTAGATGTGTAGAAGCTCCGCCCACCTGATGAACTGTCTGTAGATGTGTAGAAGCTCCGTCCACCCGATGAAGCCGTCTGTAGTTGTGTAGAAGGTCCGCCCACCTGATGAACCGTCTGTAGATGTGTAGAAGGTCCGCCCACCCGATGAAGCCGTCTGTAGATGTGTAGAAGGTCCGCCCACCCGATGAAGCCGTCTGTAGATGTGTAGAAGCTCCGCCCACCTGATGAACTGTCTGTAGATGTGTAGAAGCTCCGCCCACCTGATGAACTGTCTGTAGATGTGTAGAAGCTCCGTCCACCTGATGAACTGTCTGTAGATGTGTAGAAGCTCCGTCCACCTGATGAACTGTCTGTAGTTGTGTAGAAGCTCCGTCCACCTGATGAACTGTCTGTAGATGTGTAGAAGCTCCGCCCACCTGATGAACTGTCTGTAGATGTGTAGAAGCTCCGTCCACCCGATGAAGCCGTCTGTAGTTGTGTAGAAGGTCCGCCCACCTGATGAACCGTCTGTAGATGTGTAGAAGCTCCGTCCACCCGATGAAGCCGTCTGTAGATGTGTAGAAGCTCCGCCCACCCGATGAACCGTCTGTAGTTGTGTAGAAGCTCCGCCCACCTGATGAACTGTCTGTAGATGTGTAGAAGCTCCGTCCACCTGATGAACTGTCTGTAGATGTGTAGAAGCTCCGTCCACCTGATGAACTGTCTGTAGATGTGTAGAAGCTCCGCCCACCTGATGAACTGTCTGTAGATGTGTAGAAGCTCCGCCCACCTGATGAACTGTCTGTAGATGTGTAGAAGCTCCGCCCACCTGATGAACCGTCTGTAGATGTGTAGAAGCTCCGCCCACCTGATGAACTGTCTGTAGATGTGTAGAAGCTCCGCCCACCTGATGAACTGTCTGTAGATGTGTAGAAGCTCCGCCCACCTGATGAACCGTCTGTAGATGTGTAGAAGCTCCGCCCACCTGATGAAGCCGTCTGTAGATGTGTAGAAGCACCGCCCACCTGATGAACCGTCTGTAGATGTGTAGAAGCTCCGCCCACCTGATGAACTGTCTGTAGATGTGTAGAAGCTCCGCCCACCTGATGAACCGTCTGTAGATGTGTAGAAGCTCCGCCCACCCGATGAACTGTCTGTAGATGTGTAGAAGCTCCGCCCACCTGATGAACCGTCTGTAGATGTGTAGAAGCTCCGCCCACCTGATGAACTGTCTGTAGATGTGTAGAAGCTCCGCCCACCTGATGAACTGTCTGTAGATGTGTAGAAGCTCCGCCCACCTGATGAACCGTCTGTAGATGTGTAGAAGCTCCGCCCACCTGATGAACTGTCTGTAGATGTGTAGAAGCTCCGCCCACCTGATGAACTGTCTGTAGATGTGTAGAAGCTCCGCCCACCTGATGAACCGTCTGTAGATGTGTAGAAGCTCCGCCCACCTGATGAACCGTCTGTAGATGTGTAGAAGCTCCGCCCACCTGATGAACCGTCTGTAGATGTGTAGAAGCTCCGCCCACCTGATGAACTGTCTGTAGATGTGTAGAAGCTCCGCCCACCTGATGAACTGTCTGTAGATGTGTAGAAGCTCCGCCCACCTGATGAACTGTCTGTAGATGTGTAGAAGCTCCGCCCACCTGATGAACTGTCTGTAGATGTGTAGAAGCTCCGCCCACCTGATGAACTGTCTGTAGATGTGTAGAAGCTCCGCCCACCTGATGAACTGTCTGTAGATGTGTAGAAGCTCCGCCCACCTGATGGACTGTCTGTTTCTCCAGCTGATCAATAAGGTGGTGTTCGTGGTGAGCTTCGTTGGGAACAATGGGACGTTCATCATGGGATACAAAGCCATGGTGATGGACGTGGAGTTCCTCTACCACCTGGCCTACGTCCTGACCTCCACGCTGGGACTGTTTGTTCACGAGCTGTTCTACAGCATCCTGGTAGGACGGTTCTCCTCCTGCAGGTTCTCCTGCTCTGCTAGCAGCTGATGGCTCCTTCTGTGCAGCTCTTTGACCTGATCTACCGGGAGGAGACGCTGTTCAACGTGATCAAGAGCGTGACCCGGAACGGGCGCTCCATCCTGCTGACGGCGCTGCTCGCCCTCATCCTGGTCTACCTCTTCTCCATCCTGGGCTTCCTGTTCCTGAAAGAGGACTTCATCATGGAGGTGGACCCTCTGCTGCAGATCTCTGCAGGTAGGTGGAGGAGCTGAGAGCAGCAGGTGGAGCCGCCATGCCGAGGGTTCCTGCTAATCTCAGGAATCTCAGATCAGGATTTCGTTTTGTTCATGTTTCTTCTGACCTCTGGGCTCCATCTCCTCTCATGAAGAACCACGTGGAGGACCAGCAGCTCCATCTCTGTATTAATCGCCTTCTGTTCTGCAGATCCTCAGCAGACTGAAGCTTCTCAGGACTTCCTCAAGTCGTGTTCTGCAGATGGAGTGAGCTGCACTGACGAGACGAATGTCCCCGCCGCCGAGGAGGAGGAAGGTAGGAGCTGCAGGGAGCTGATCCTGCCTGAGGTTCTCCTGCAAGCACATTTCATGCTGGTTCATCAAACTGCTGCAGGTTCTCCTCCTCTGGCTGCAGAGGTTCAGGGTTTTTGCAGGATCCCAGGGAAGAACCATGCTTAGATGTTTTCCTTTAAATGTGTGAGAATGTTTGGAACCAGTGAAAAGCCACTGATCTTCTGGATGCTGTTGGTGAAATGATTTGAATCTGTGTGAAGAAAGCTTCCTGGAAGCATCCATCTGTCTATCTGGGCAGGATGAGCTTCTCCTAAACGTGGAAGGTCTCTGTGGACGGACGAAAGGCTGAAAGCTTCAGATGAAACCATGAAGGTTTCATGGTTTCCTGCAGCAGCGGTTCCTGTAACCGCAGCTCTGTCTCTGTTCTGCAGGCGAGTCCAACACGGAGCGGGCCTGTGACACTCTGCTCATGTGCATCGTCACCGTGCTGAACCACGGCCTGAGGAACGGAGGAGGAGTGGGAGATGTCCTCCGCAGACCGTCCAAAAACGTAAGGTCAACGTCTGGAGATCCTCTCTTCTGCTCATTCTGTCAGGGTCCATCCTGGACAGGTAGGGACAGGGACTAGGATCTAGGAAGGGGGGCTAGCAGAACAGAGCAGGATGCTTCTACACTCCAAAAACTCTCCAAATCAGTCGAATTTTCATAAATTAAGCGTATTTTCCCCTAATAAATAAAATGATCTGTTAATGGAAGGAGTATTTTTCAATCGTAGAATAACATAATTAGATATTATGCAACTGTGTGTCTCACCTCCTCAATTCAAGAGAAAATGCACTTATTTTAAGAAGAAATAACTTATTTAGATTTGGACTTTTTCCAGATGTGCTTAAGCTGAATAAAAACAAAGTGAAGAAGAAGGTTTTAAAGTTAGCTTCAGTCAATCTAAATCAGCCTTCTGCCGATGATCAGTTAGACTGAATGGATGGAAGCAGATCAGGGATGAAGGGTTCTGGTCGGTTAGCCGTCAGGCTGTGGTCCAGACCGATGGGGTCCAGACCGATGGGGTCCAGACCGATGTGGTCCAGACCGATGTGGTCCAGACCGATGGGGTCCAGACCGATGTGGTCCAGACCGATGGGGTCCAGACCGATGGGGTCCAGACCGATGTGGTCCAGACCGATGGGGTCCAGACCGATGTGGTCCAGACCGATGTGGTCCAGACCGATGGGGTCCAGACCGATGTGGTCCAGACCGATGGGGTCCAGACCGATGGGGTCCAGACCGATGTGGTCCAGACCGATGGGGTCCAGACCGATGTGGTCCAGACCGATGGGGTCCAGACCGATGTGGTCCAGACCGATGTGGTCCAGACCGATGGGGTCCAGACCGATGGGGTCCAGACCGATGTGGTCCAGACCGATGGGGTCCAGACCGATGGGGTCCAGACCGATGTGGTCCAGAATGGCTGCCGTACCAGCGCCGCGCCGGAAGACATAACAAACCTCTATCTGTTTGCAGGAGCCGCTGTTTCCCGCCCGCGTCGTCTACGACCTGCTTTTCTACTTCATCGTCATCATCATTGTTCTCAACCTGATCTTCGGCGTCATCATCGACACCTTTGCCGACCTGAGGAGTGAGAAGCAGAAGAAGGAGGAGATCCTGAAGACCACGTGCTTCATCTGCGGTGGGTAGAACCTCCAGGCCCGGTGTCGGTCCATCCTGACGCCCTGCTGCAGAAACGCTGAGCGGCTTTTCTCTGCTGCAGGTCTGGAGAGAGACAAGTTTGACAACAAGACCGTGTCGTTTGAGGAGCACATCAAGATGGAGCACAACATCTGGAACTACCTGTATTTCATCGTCCTGGTCCGGGAGAAGAACCACACGGACTACACGGGTCCAGAGAGCTACGTGGCTCACATGATCAAGGTAGGAAACGGAGGCGGGAAGTCCAGCTGAGTCCAGGACCGTACGCCCACCTTCTTCCTTCCCCCCTCACAGGAAAAAAACCTGGAGTGGTTTCCACGGATGCAGGCCATGTCCCTGGTGGTAACCGACGGCGACGGGGAGCAAAACGAGATGAGGATGCTACAGGACAAGCTGGGGGCGACCATGAAGGTGGTGACGACGCTGACGGGGCAGCTGAACGAGCTCAAGGAGCAGGTAAGCAGAGGGTTGCTGGTTGGATTCCGCATCAAGGAACCGACCACCTGCTGCCTGTAGAGGGACTCAGAGGGAGAGGAGTCCATGTTCATCCATGTTTGGGTCAGAACATTCTGGTTACCATAGCAACACATGCCGGCTGAACCAGAGAACAGAACCACATATGATGCAAAGGAGCAGTGGAGCCGTCAGAACCGGAAAGTCTCACGTTCAGAACTTTTACTGCAAACATTAAATAATTGAACATCTACTTCATCATATAAAGTTCCCATATATGATGAAGTCGATGCCTAAAGCAGTGGCATTAGTTTATTCAGTATTGTGAAGCTTTGCCGACGCACCACCAGGTGGCAGTAATGATCTGGTTCCAGGATCCGTCCATGACTGCTGGGTCCGTCAGATTAACGCTAAACTCTTCCGCAATTATCAGTGCTGTGATCATGATCCGAGTGTCTGGCAGAAGGAAGGAGGAAGAGGAAGAAGGAAGCTTCCTGTAATAGAGAGGGAGGAAGAGGAAGCAGGAAGCTTCCTGCAACAGAGAGGGAAAAGGAGGAAGCAGGGAGCTTCCTGTAATAGGGAGGGAGGAAGAGGAAGCAGGAAGCTTCCTGTAATAGAGAGGGAGGAAGAGGAAGCAGGGAGCTTCCTGTAATAGAGAGGGAGGAAGAGGAAGCAGGAAGCTTCCTGCAACAGAGAGGGAAAAGGAGGAAGCAGGGAGCTTCCTGTAATAGGGAGGGAGGAAGAGGAAGCAGGAAGCTTACTGCAATAGGGAGGGAGGAAGAGGAAGCAGGAAGCTTCCTGTAATAGAGAGGGAGGAAGAGGAAGCAGGAAGCTTCCTGCAACAGAGAGGGAAAAGGAGGAAGCAGGGAGCTTCCTGTAATAGGGAGGGAGGAAGAGGAAGCAGGAAGCTTCCTGTAATAGAGAGGGAGGAAGAGGAAGCAGGAAGCTTCCTGCAACAGAGAGGGAAAAGGAGGAAGCAGGGAGCTTCCTGTAATAGGGAGGGAGGAAGAGGAAGCAGGAAGCTTACTGCAATAGGGAGGGAGGAAGAGGAAGCAGGAAGCTTCCTGTAATAGAGAGGGAGGAAGAGGAAGCAGGAAGCTTCCTGCAACAGAGAGGGAAAAGGAGGAAGCAGGGAGCTTCCTGTAATAGGGAGGGAGGAAGAGGAAGCAGGAAGCTTCCTGTAATAGAGAGGGAGGAAGAGGAAGCAGGGAGCTTCCTGTAATAGAGAGGGAGGAAGAGGAAGCAGGAAGCTTCCTGCAACAGAGAGGGAAAAGGAGGAAGCAGGGAGCTTCCTGTAATAGGGAGGGAGGAAGAGGAAGCAGGAAGCTTCCTGTAATAGAGAGGGAGGAAGAGGAAGCAGGGAGCTTCCTGTAATAGAGAGGGAGGAAGAGGAAGCAGGAAGCTTCCTGCAACAGAGAGGGAAAAGGAGGAAGCAGGGAGCTTCCTGTAATAGGGAGGGAGGAAGAGGAAGCAGGAAGCTTCCTGTAATAGAGAGGGAGGAAGAGGAAGCAGGAAGCTTCCTGCAACAGAGAGGGAAAAGGAGGAAGCAGGGAGCTTCCTGTAATAGGGAGGGAGGAAGAGGAAGCAGGAAGCTTACTGCAATAGGGAGGGAGGAAGAGGAAGCAGGAAGCTTCCTGTAATAGAGAGGGAGGAAGAGGAAGCAGGAAGCTTCCTGCAACAGAGAGGGAAAAGGAGGAAGCAGGGAGCTTCCTGTAATAGAGAGGGAGGAAGAGGAAGCAGGAAGCTTCCTGCAACAGAGAGGGAAAAGGAGGAAGCAGGGAGCTTCCTGTAATAGGGAGGGAGGAAGAGGAAGCAGGAAGCTTACTGCAATAGGGAGGGAGGAAGAGGAAGCAGGAAGCTTCCTGTAATAGAGAGGGAGGAAGAGGAAGCAGGAAGCTTCCTGCAACAGAGAGGGAAAAGGAGGAAGCAGGGAGCTTCCTGTAATAGGGAGGAAGGAAGAGGAAGCAGGAAGCTTCCTGTAATAGAGAGGGAGGAAGAGGAAGCAGGAAGCTTCCTGCAACAGAGAGGGAAAAGGAGGAAGCAGGGAGCTTCCTGTAATAGGGAGGGAGGAAGAGGAAGCAGGAAGCTTACTGCAATAGGGAGGGAGGAAGAGGAAGCAGGAAGCTTCCTGTAATAGAGAGGGAGGAAGAGGTAGCAGGAAGCTTCCTGCAACAGAGAGGGAAAAGGAGGAAGCAGGGAGCTTCCTGTAATAGGGAGGGAGGAAGAGGAAGCAGGAAGCTTCCTGTAATAGAGAGGGAGGAAGAGGAAGCAGGGAGCTTCCTGTAATAGAGAGGGAGGAAGAGGAAGCAGGAAGCTTCCTGCAACAGAGAGAGAAAAGGAGGAAGCAGGGAGCTTCCTGTAATAGGGAGGGAGGAAGAGGAAGCAGGAAGCTTCCTGTAATAGAGAGGGAGGAAGAGGAAGCAGGAAGCTTCCTGCAACAGAGAGGGAAAAGGAGGAAGCAGGGAGCTTCCTGTAATAGGGAGGGAGGAAGAGGAAGCAGGAAGCTTACTGCAATAGGGAGGGAGGAAGAGGAAGCAGGAAGCTTCCTGTAATAGAGAGGGAGGAAGAGGAAGCAGGAAGCTTCCTGCAACAGAGAGGGAAAAGGAGGAAGCAGGGAGCTTCCTGTAATAGGGAGGGAGGAAGAGGAAGCAGGAAGCTTCCTGTAATAGAGAGGGAGGAAGAGGAAGCAGGGAGCTTCCTGTAATAGAGAGGGAGGAAGAGGAAGCAGGAAGCTTCCTGCAACAGAGAGGGAAAAGGAGGAAGCAGGGAGCTTCCTGTAATAGGGAGGGAGGAAGAGGAAGCAGGAAGCTTCCTGTAATAGAGAGGGAGGAAGAGGAAGCAGGGAGCTTCCTGTAATAGAGAGGGAGGAAGAGGAAGCAGGAAGCTTCCTGCAACAGAGAGGGAAAAGGAGGAAGCAGGGAGCTTCCTGTAATAGGGAGGGAGGAAGAGGAAGCAGGAAGCTTACTGCAACAGAGAGGGAAAAGGAGGAAGCAGGGAGCTTCCTGTAATAGGGAGGGAGGAAGAGGAAGCAGGAAGCTTACTGCAATAGGGAGGGAGGAAGAGGAAGCAGGAAGCTTCCTGTAATAGAGAGGGAGGAAGAGGAAGCAGGAAGCTTCCTGCAACAGAGAGGGAAAAGGAGGAAGCAGGGAGCTTCCTGTAATAGGGAGGGAGGAAGAGGAAGCAGGAAGCTTCCTGTAATAGAGAGGGAGGAAGAGGAAGCAGGAAGCTTCCTGCAACAGAGAGGGAAAAGGAGGAAGCAGGGAGCTTCCTGTAATAGGGAGGGAGGAAGAGGAAGCAGGAAGCTTACTGCAATAGGGAGGGAGGAAGAGGAAGCAGGAAGCTTCCTGTAATAGAGAGGGAGGAAGAGGTAGCAGGAAGCTTCCTGCAACAGAGAGGGAAAAGGAGGAAGCAGGGAGCTTCCTGTAATAGGGAGGGAGGAAGAGGAAGCAGGAAGCTTCCTGTAATAGAGAGGGAGGAAGAGGAAGCAGGGAGCTTCCTGTAATAGAGAGGGAGGAAGAGGAAGCAGGAAGCTTCCTGCAACAGAGAGGGAAAAGGAGGAAGCAGGGAGCTTCCTGTAATAGGGAGGGAGGAAGAGGAAGCAGGAAGCTTCCTGTAATAGAGAGGGAGGAAGAGGAAGCAGGAAGCTTCCTGCAACAGAGAGGGAAAAGGAGGAAGCAGGGAGCTTCCTGTAATAGGGAGGGAGGAAGAGGAAGCAGGAAGCTTACTGCAATAGGGAGGGAGGAAGAGGAAGCAGGAAGCTTCCTGTAATAGAGAGGGAGGAAGAGGTAGCAGGAAGCTTCCTGCAACAGAGAGGGAAAAGGAGGAAGCAGGGAGCTTCCTGTAATAGGGAGGGAGGAAGAGGAAGCAGGAAGCTTCCTGTAATAGAGAGGGAGGAAGAGGAAGCAGGGAGCTTCCTGTAATAGAGAGGGAGGAAGAGGAAGCAGGAAGCTTCCTGCAACAGAGAGGGAAAAGGAGGAAGCAGGGAGCTTCCTGTAATAGGGAGGGAGGAAGAGGAAGCAGGAAGCTTCCTGTAATAGAGAGGGAGGAAGAGGAAGCAGGAAGCTTCCTGCAACAGAGAGGGAAAAGGAGGAAGCAGGGAGCTTCCTGTAATAGGGAGGGAGGAAGAGGAAGCAGGAAGCTTACTGCAATAGGGAGGGAGGAAGAGGAAGCAGGAAGCTTCCTGTAATAGAGAGGGAGGAAGAGGAAGCAGGAAGCTTCCTGCAACAGAGAGGGAAAAGGAGGAAGCAGGGAGCTTCCTGTAATAGGGAGGGAGGAAGAGGAAGCAGGAAGCTTCCTGTAATAGAGAGGGAGGAAGAGGAAGCAGGGAGCTTCCTGTAATAGAGAGGGAGGAAGAGGAAGCAGGAAGCTTCCTGCAACAGAGAGGGAAAAGGAGGAAGCAGGGAGCTTCCTGTAATAGGGAGGGAGGAAGAGGAAGCAGGAAGCTTCCTGTAATAGAGAGGGAGGAAGAGGAAGCAGGGAGCTTCCTGTAATAGAGAGGGAGGAAGAGGAAGCAGGAAGCTTCCTGCAACAGAGAGGGAAAAGGAGGAAGCAGGGAGCTTCCTGTAATAGGGAGGGAGGAAGAGGAAGCAGGAAGCTTACTGCAATAGGGAGGGAGGAAGAGGAAGCAGGAAGCTTCATGTAATAGAGAGGGAGGAAGAGGAAGCAGGAAGCTTCCTGCAACAGAGAGGGAAAAGGAGGAAGCAGGGAGCTTCCTGTAATAGAGAGGGAGGAAGAGGAAGCAGGAAGCTTCCTGCAACAGAGAGGGAAAAGGAGGAAGCAGGGAGCTTCCTGTAATAGGGAGGGAGGAAGAGGAAGCAGGAAGCTTACTGCAATAGGGAGGGAGGAAGAGGAAGCAGGAAGCTTCCTGTAATAGAGAGGGAGGAAGAGGAAGCAGGAAGCTTCCTGCAACAGAGAGGGAAAAGGAGGAAGCAGGGAGCTTCCTGTAATAGAGAGGGAGGAAGAGGAAGCAGGAAGCTTCCTGCAACAGAGAGGGAAAAGGAGGA